TTTGCTTCTTTGCGGCCTTCCGACGGCCCGAGACGGCCCAAGAGCCCCCAAGGTCGCCCAAGAGGCCTCCAAGATGGCCCCAGAACGGCCCAAGAGGCCCCCAAGACGGCCCCAAGAGGCCCCCAAGACGGCCCAGGAAGCCTTTAAGACGCCCAAGATGGCCTCCAAGACGGCCCTGGAGCATTCCAAGAAGGCCCCAAGTCGGCCCAGAGAGGCCCCCCAAACGGCTTCCGATAGCGTCAGACGGGCCAGGAGCCCACCAAGACGGCCGAAGATGACCCTAAGATGGCCCAAGATGGCCCAAGAGGCCCCCAAGAAGGCCTCCGGGAAGGCCTGAAAAAACCAAAATCATTGGTTTCCAATGAGTTATTGAAGAAGTGTGGCATTGCATTTTTTCGGCCTTCCGACGGCCCGAGACGGCCCAAGTGCCCCCAAAGATCGCCCAAGAGGCCCAAGACGGCCCCAAAAGGCCCCCAAGACGGCCCAAGAGTCCAAGACGCTCAAGATGGCCTCCAAGACGGCCCAAGAGCCCTCCAAGACGTCCTACAAGAAGGCCCGAAAGGGTCAAAATGGCCTCCAGACGGCCAAGATGACCTTCAAGATGCCCACGTGTTCCCCGAAGGCTTTCCAAACCGATTCGGGGAACACATGGTCCGATAGCTTGGCAGGTCTGCCCTCAACGTTCGGCCACATAGGCGCTTCCAAAAAGGCAGGGGGCGGCGGTGATTCGCCGTAGGCGTCTTCGATCCGCCGCCCCCTGTCGATTCATCGCAGGGGTGCCTGGCGTGCTAGACCCTTTCGGTTTTGGTGTTGGTTCTTTTTCCAAAAGAACTCCCCCTGGGGCTTCGGCCCGTCCCGCCGGCCACCCGGAAAGATCTTCCAGATTCTTCCGGCTTGCCCGGAGCCGGTTGCCAAGGATTTGTCCTGCTGCAGACGGCTCCAAGACGACCCAAGATGGCCTCCAAGACGCCTCCAAGACGGCCAACATGGCCTCCAAGACGGCTCAGATGGCCCCAAGATGCCTCCAAGATGGCCCAAGATGCCTCCAGGACGCCCTAAGGTAGCCTCAAGCTGGTTCAAGACGGCCTAAGAGGCCCCCAAGAGCCCCCCAAGACGCCTCCAAGAGGTCCTCAAGGAGTTCCCGAAGAGGCCAAAATTATGTGTTTTCCTTCGGTTGTTTTGAGGATTTTGGCATTTGCTTCTAGTCAGCCTTCCGACGACCTCAAGACGGCCCAAGAGGCCCCCAAGATCGCCCCAAAAATCGCTCACGAGGCCTCCAAGATGGCCCCATGACGGCCCAAGAAGCCCCCAAGAAGGCCCCAAAAGGGCCCCAAGATGGCCTCCAAGACGGACCCGAAGCGCCCCAAGAGGACCCCAAGTCCGTTCAGAGAGGCCCCCAAGACGGCTCCCGACGGCGTCAGACGGGCCAGGAACGCCATGAGACGGCCAAACAAGCCCCCGAGAAGCCCCAAAAGGGCCCCAAGAGGCCCTCAACAGGCCCCAAGAGAGCCCAAGATAGCCCCAACATGGCCTCCAAGACGGTCCCAAGATGGTCCAGTCGAGCCCAAGAGTGCCTCAAGAGGCTCCGAAGAGGCATCCTCCCCCTTCCACTTTTTCCTCCTTCTCCTCCCCCTCCCCTTCCTCCCCCCCGCGTTCCCCGAAATCTGTCCAAACCGACTCGGGGAACACATGGTCCGATAGCTTGGCCAAGCTCTAGCCCAGCTGTCGGACGCATAGGCGCTTCCACGAGGGCAGGGGGCGGCGGTGATTCGCCGTAGGCGTCTTCGATACCTACTTTCAACGACCGCCGGGTAACCCATCCCTGGTACCCACTGGCGTGGCCTTGGCCCCACAGGCCGACCTACCCACCTGGGTGTCGGGATGCATGCCGGGTCATTCGGGTTCCGCGGGCGCACCCTGGCGGGGTGGGCTGGTGGGGCTGAGACACCATGGCCCAGTGGGGATGGGGATCGGTTCGACGATGCTTGCACGAGAAACTGCAGAGGAGATGACGTCGGGCTCCAAATCCGCCCCCCGCATCTCGCCGAGCAGCGACAGAGCCCGCTGCCACTGCCGGCTCTTCTCGCACACGCTGATCCCGGCGTTGTAGTGGATGGTGTCGGGCTTCAGGCTCGTCTTGACCATTTCGCTGAGAAGCGCGAGTGCCTCTGGCCACTGTCTGCCTTTTCCAAATGCGTGCATGATCGCAGTGTAGTGGGCCGGGCCTCTCACGGACAGTCGAGGCGCTTCGGGAGCACATGCGGCCCTGGGCTCCAAGGCCACATTGAGGGAAGAAGCATCTGGTCGAGAGCCCCGCCAGATGTCTAGCATTCTGGAAGATATTGGAGCAAAGCTGTTCGAACCATAAGAACGGCATTGCCAGCGTCCAACGTCGGCCGTGAGAACTTGAGCCAATATGGCTTGAACCAAGAATGCGTGTGCAGGTACGTCCAGACTGGGGAAGACAGCGTGAACTGTGACGACGCCGTATGGCAAATCCTGTCCGAAATGGCCGGCGACTGCTGTTGAGTAGACAACGCTCGCCACTAAACGGACGATGCAGAAAGGAAACCGACAGCGAGCCCTGTCCCAACTTACACTGATGCCAGCCATCGTCCCCACTGGTTTCTTCCCCACTCGGGCCCTCTCGAATGCACTGTTGGCGGCGCGCACGAGGGGATAGGGGGAGGGGGAATGCCTCTTAGAAGGAGGCTGCTTCGTGGAAGGCACTGGCCCTACATCTAGAGGTAAGGCCCGCGTCCTCCAAAAAAAGGGGTGCTTCTGAGAGGCCTTCACCCTCCCCTCCACCGCTCTGCGCGTGGCTGACACCTACAGGGCTCCCTCAGCGCACTTCGGAAGCCTCCCGAACGCAGGACTCTGCCGGGGGAGGAGGGGGCAGAGGATCAGAAGAGGACCCAGAGCTCCAGTGCCACATTCAGGGGCCGACAGTTGGCGGCGCGCAGATTACCAGCCTGGAACATATCCCTGTCCCTCTGCTGGGCATCTCCTCATCACGATGCCAATCTTAGGGATTCCCTTAATGTTTGAGGGCGCATCCCTGAGATTGTCATCGCCTTTTGGCGTGTCAATCTTGGGGATAGGGATACGTTCGAGGCTGGTAAGCAGAGGGGGGGCAGGGAGAGGGGAGACGGCTGCTCCGCAGGAGGCTGCTGCGTGCGCAGACGGCTCGGGTTTCCCTTCGACGGACGAGAGGCCCACGCCTCTCGAGACGCTGCCTCCTTCTGCTGGCCATCGCTCGGACGTCCATTCTCTGTGCTTTTGTTCGGTTTCGTGCGTGGCTTTTTCGCCAAATGATCAAGGGAGCTCCTCGATGCTCCTCGCCGAAGGAAAAATGCACACGTCCGAGCGATGCCAAGTTCCGAGGAGCCTTCCCCCCTCCCCCTCCTCCTCCTCCTCCTCCTCCTCCTCCTCCTCCTCCTCCTCCTCCTCCTCCTCCTCCTCTCCTCCTGCTCCTCTCCTCCTCCTCCTCCTCCTCCTCCTCCTCCTCCTCCTCCTCCTCCTCCTCCTCCTCCTCCTCCTCCCCTCCTCCTCCTCCTCCTCCTCCTCCTCCTCCTCCTCCTCCTCCCCGACCCCCGCCTGCGCGCGGCCGAACCAGAAATCCCGAGGCCTCGCCCCCCACGGCAGAGGCCGGCGTTTTGAGCAGCCCCCGAGGCCCGGCGCGGGCCTCCGAGGGGCCGCACACGGCGAGAGGCCTCCGCCGCTGTTGTCAATACAGTCGGGGCGTTGACCTAAGGAATCCCAAATACCTCCTCGTCCTCCTCCTCCTCCTCCTCCTCCTCCTCCTCCTCCTCCTCCTCCTCCTCCTCCTCCTCCTCATCCTCCGCTTCCTCCCCCCACTCCTGGCCCTTTCGATCAGGGTCGGCGGCACCGGCCGTCAGGCCTCTCCAATAAGGAACGACGAGGCCCCTTTTTTCCCATAAGTTAAGCTTCGACTTCGCATGGAGAACCGGAGGAAAACCCAAGGCACAGTGTACAACAATGAAGGAGCACGGAACGCCTCCCCAACGAAAAGGGTTCCTTCTTCAGCGCCCCGACTGTACGCTGGAGGTCTGGGTGGGAAGGGGGCGGAGGAGAGGGGCTGAGCGCGCAAGCTGGCACCTAAAGGGGAAGGCCAGAGGAGGAGGAGGAGGAGGAGGAGGAGGAGGAGGAGGAGGAGGAGGAGCGAAGGTCGCCTCGTCGCCTCTGCGCCGTCCCCATGTCGTTCCCACCGCACTCCTGGCAAGAGCTACTTCCCATCCCTCCCCCTGGCGTCGGCCAGGGTGGAGGCCTTCGAGGCGCCAGGGCTTGAACCAGACCCGTCCACAGCGCCAGCGCCAAGAGGAGGACTGGGGGGATTAAGTGGATTGCAGACTGGCCGGGGACGAGAGGAGGAGGAGGAGGAGGAGGAGGAGGAGGAGGAGGAGGAGGAGGAGGAGGAGGAAGGGAGGAGGAGGGAGGAGGAGGGAGGAGGAGGAGGAGGAGGAGGAGGAGGAGGAGGAGGAAGATGAGGGGCAACGTGGGCCAGCTCTGGGGGGCGGAACATCGACCTGGAATTGGCGATACAATGCCGATAGATCGGCGGCATGCCCCGCGATAGCGAAACCACGCATCCTGGGCGAGGCTGGGCTATCAGGTGCCTATCGCTGATAAATTGGCGAGTGGGGGTCGAATCACCTCCCCCTGAGCCTATGCCCCCTTAACGTTTTCCTGAATGTCACGGGGACGAGAGGAGGAGGAGGAGGAGGAGGAGGAGGAGGAGGAGGCGGAGGAAAAAGAATAGGAGGAGGAGGAGCAGGAGGAGGGAGGAGGAGAGGAAGAGGAGGAGGGGCGGGGAGAAGGAGGAGGAGGAGGAGCAAGGGGAAGGAGGAGGAAAGCGAGGAGGAAGAGGGATGGGAGCAGGCAGATCGACCGCAGCGGCGGGTATCGCGGTGGGTGGCAGCGGCCGCAGGGGGCGGCTGGCGGGCGAGATCGGGCGCGCGCGCGCGCGGGCGCCCGCCCGCCTCGAGGAAGCCAGGGCCCTGTGCCGCGCCGCCGTCCTCGCCAGCACGGCAGGAGAGCGGACTGCAGCGCCGCTGATGCACACTGAGCTTACTCTGTTCCTCCTCCTCCTCCTCCTCCTCCTCCGCCTCCTCCTCCTCCTCCTCCTCCTCCTCCTCCTCCGCCTCCTCCTCCTCCTTTTCCTCCTCCTCCTCCTCCTTCTCCTGGCCCTGGCCATGCTAGCCCCTCTCCGGCACCAACGCTGGGGAGATCGTCGTCGTCGTCGTCGTCGGCGTCGTCGTCGAGGGGCGTCGGCTGGGCGTCATCGCGGTCGTCGTCGCTGTCGGATCGGGCGTCGTTCGTGCCTCGGAGGTCAAACTCGGTCCCAGTTTTTCACCTCGGCTGGTTTCTGACGACCACAGGGTCCGAAACGGCCGCCGAAATGGAAGGCAACCCTCCAAGAACCAAAACCGATGGAAGATCATCCTCCAGACCCCGGACGTCGCGACTTCTCACGACGTGGACCCCATGAGGTCTCGACCCCTTCCCCAGGACATTTCTTTCATCCTGAGCCGCTTTTAAGACAGGGCCTGGCAACGGCCCCCAGAGAAAAAAAAAAAAAAAAAAAAAAAAAAAAAAAAAAAAAAAAAAAAAAAAAAAAAAAAAAAAAAAAAAAAAAAAAAAAAAAAAAAAACCACATGTCTCAAGACACGAAGGGGGATGGCCCCCCTCACAGGTCAGCCCCTGGGCACCTCTCGGGGCCAGAATGTCGACGCAGACTCAGCGGTGGCGACGAGCAGCCCTCCCAGAGGCTCGCGGCGCGGAAGAGCGGCAAAAACAGGCATCAAACCTCGAAACTGCATCCTCCCCGCTCCTGCCACTCGGCTTCCGGGGCCCAGCTCGCGTCGCTGGCGGCCGTTCCGAACGATCCGGGCACCCCTGGAACGCTCTCGGCGAGGAGCCTCTGCTGGAACGCGCCCCGAGGCTGGAACACCCGCGGGCACCAGCAGAAGCGTCCGAAAACCTGCGTCAGAACCTCTCGGGCCCGGCTGACCTGGACGTCTCGAAAGACAAGACATCCCCCCCATTCGGGGGCGGCAAAGAGGGGGGTGTCCAAGAGGGGGGGTGCAAACCATGACCAGCGGCACGTGCGCGGCCCAGCGGGGGGGGTCCAGGGACGTAATGAAATAAGAAGAGGCGCCATGAAATCTGGGGAAATACCATGGCCCCAGCCATGATATCCAGCCCCCCCTTGTCTAGGGAGCACGCAAAGGAAGTACGCGCCCAGCTATGTACATGAACACGGCCCCTCGATCCGCGAGACCAGCCGCGTTGTACGAGCATTTGCGCAATGCGCACTCTCGAAACCAGCGTGGATTCATGTACGTGTACGTCCTTCTTTCGCTGCTGATAGTCATCACCCCCCTCTTTGCCGCCCCCGACCCATACACCCCCACTGGCCCCCGTGGTCCTCGAGGCCGTCCAGGCTGCAGCCGCGCGCCGAGGTGGGCAGCGACCGCGCGCGCAGCTTGCCGCCTGCGGACCGGCGCGCCCGCGGGCCGCGCCGCGACCCGCCCCGGGGCTCCCTCCTCCTCCTCCTCCTCCTCCTCCCCCTCCTCCTCCACCTCCTCCTCCAACCACCTCCTCCTCCAGAGGAGGGGGCGCGCAGCTGGCGGCTCGGACGGGGCATCGAGCTGGGCAGCTCTTCGCCACTCGGAGCCCCTGGAGGAGTCATGTCATGTTCTGCGACAGCCGTCGCCGCGTGCCTCTCCGGAGGCCTCGGGGCGAAAAGCTGGCCCCAGGGAGGAGGGAAAAGGATGAGGATGAGGAGGAGGAGGAGGAGGAGGAGGAGGAGGAGGAGGCAGGTACGAGGCCGAGATGACTAGGACGAGATGAGGATGAGATGAGGATGAGGATGAGGAGGAGATGAGGATGAGGAGTGAGAATGAGGATGAGGATGAGGGATGAGAGAGGAGGATGATATGATGATGATGATGATGATGATGATGATGAGGCTATGATGTATGATGATGAGATGATATGATTGATGGATGATGATATGCTGATAATGATGAGAAAGGAGGAGGAGGAGGAGGAGGAGGAGGAGGTAGGAGGAGGTGAGGAGGGGGAGGAGGATGAGGAGGGAGGAGGAGGGAGGAGGAGGAGGAGGAAGGAGGAGGATGGGAGGAGGAGTGAGGAGGAGGAGGAGCACGCCCCCCAAAAAGAAAAAAAAAACCCTCCGAGTGTGTTGTGAAAGGGTTGAGCCGGCTATTCATCACAAACCGGGTCCAAGATCGGTGTAATACAATAATATGACACACTCCTGGCTTCTGGCTTGACTGGGGAGGTATGCACACAGATCCTGAGCCCAGGTCACGGCGGGTTCGGGATTGAAGGGGGAATGGGGTGACCATACGTCCACTAAGCCTCCCTCCCTCCTCCTACACATCCTCTCCTCCTCCTCCTCTTTCTCCCAATGGCTTGGTTCAGACCACACATATTCTCAGCATACCTATAACTCCCACACGGTCTTCTAGTCTACTCTATCTACCCTCCCCGTCCCCCTCCTCCTCCTCCTCCTCCTCCTCCTCCTCCTCCTCCTCCTCCTCCTCCTCCTCCTCCTCCTCCTCCTCCTCCTCCTCCATTCCTTTTCCTTATGGATAACTGTTTCCTGTCACATCCCGAAGACAATGTTAGGGCGGGCCGGGCGTTTCGCCTGAGACTTCCTCGCCATTTACGACTCTGAAGCTTGACTAAGTGGCAACAGTTTCACAAATGGAGGGCGGGTGGTTTTCAAAATGTGGCTCTCGCCTTAGCGCCGCGCAGATTCGTTTTGAGAATTTGCAGGAGTTTCACGGATTGAGGGCGGGTCGTCTTCAAAATGTGGCTCTCGCCTTAGCAACGCGCACATTCGCTAAAAAATTGCAAGAGTTACATCTTGAGGGCGGTTCCTTTTCAAAATGTGGCTCTCGCCTCAGCGCCGAACACATTCGTTTAAACAAATTGCAAAAGTTTCATGGATTGAGGGAGGTTCCTTTGCAAAATGTGGCTCTCGCCTTAGCGCCGCGAACGTTCGTTTTAAAATTTCATACGAGTTTCACGGATTGAGGGCGGGTCGTTTTCAAAATGTGGCTCTCGCCTCAGCGCCGCGCACATTCGTTTTGAACATTTGCAAGTGTTTCACGGATTCCCATAATCAACGTACCGGAAATTCCCCTATCAGTGCTTGCACTGAAGGGGTCCTCGCAGAAGTTGAAGGATTTGGCGACAATGTCCCGCCGATTTTGGTCGCACCTGAGTTCCCGGGTTCCCGGTTCCCGGTTCCCGGGTTCCCGGTTCCAGGTTCCGGGCCGATTTCGGAGGGCGGCGAGGTTCCGGGGTTCCCGGGTTCCTGGTCCATCTTCTTATCGATCGGTCTCACCATCGATCTCATTACCCACTTCCCTATCGATCTCACCATCGATCTCACAATCGATCTCACTATCGATCTCACAAGCGATCTCACTAGAGATCGCATGAGCGATCTCGAGATCGATCTCACTACCGATCTCATTGAATCGATTTCACTCTCGGTCTCACGATCGACCTTACAATCGTCCTCACTATCGATTACACTATCGATCTCATTATCGATCTCACATTCGATCTCAAGATCCATAGTATTAATTCTCAAGTCATCCACTGATTGGGGTCTTCTCAGGTGTAATGGTGTTTGGGAATGATTCAGGACCCTGCGGGTGCAACAGTTATGTTGAGTCGCGGTGTTGAAGTCCCAAAAACGGCGTTCTGGCACGATTCCAGATGATCGTCAAGACGCAGCAGTCAGGTTGATCTGTGGCGTTGAAATCCCGAGAACAATGTTTTGGCATGATACAGGATCTTCAAACGGTTGTCTTCCAACGAGGCAGTTCCCTCAATGAAAATGAACCGTTATAGGGGCCTATGAAGAGCGAGCTTGGAGGGAGGGTTGATTCCAACATCGTTGATGACTCTTGGGTTTACACTGGTCCTCCTCCTCCTCCTCATTCTCCTCCTCCTCCTCCTCCTCCTCCTCCTCCTCCTCCTCCTCCTTCTCCTCCTCCTCCATCCCTCACCAATTATGATCCTGGAGCTTCAACTTCCACCAGCCATCTGGACGTTGGTGGCCTGACGAGTTCTTTCTTTCCTCGTCCAAGCCCCTTCTTCCCTTCGGGGAGGGGTATTTACCCTCCCCCCCCTCCCTTCCCCTGGGGAGGGGAGGAGGGGGAGGAGGGCGAGGAGGGAGGGGGGGGGGAGAGAAGGAGGGGAGGCGCAGGGGGGAGGAGGGTAGGGGGGGGGGGGGGGGGGGGGGGGGGGGGGGGGGAGAGGAGACGGGGCTGACGCTGCGACCGCGGCGGACCTGAGTTCGCAAGACGCCAGAAAAGGAGGAGGGGGGGAGTGAAGGAGCCCCAGGACACACAAATAAATACACACAAATAAAAAGATTCCTCACAATTTTCCTATATTTTCTGGGTTTTTGTCTTCCCCCCCCCACTTCCCATATTTTCCAATATTTTCTGGGGGATCGACCATTAATTGTGTCTGAGTTTTTTTGTTCCCTCCTGAGGGAGGGAGGCTCGCTTCGCCGCCGCCGCAGCCGTCCGCCGGCGGGCCGGGCGCGGCGCGGCGCCTGGCGGGGCGCCGCTGCCCAGCACCTGGCCGACGCTGCGGGTGTGGCCGGCCTGCCGCGGGGGGTGGGGGCGGCGTGGCGCGGCGGGCGAGCGAGGCCCTCCGGGGGAAGGAGGCACGAGGAGGGAGGATCACGAGGGGGAGGAGCAGGATGAAGGTGGCGCTGGGGAGGAGGGCGAGGGTGAGGATGCATACGCCAGGGGAGGATGAGGATGAGGACGATGAGGAGGGCGGTGCGGCGCGCGGCGCGGCGGGCGGGCCAGGTCCCTGGGGAAGGAGGCCCTCGGGCTCAGGGCTGGAGGCACTGGAGTCTTAGGGGGGGCAACTTCTGGGAGGTCTCCGTGAGAACGATCCAGGGATACCAAGCCCGAGCACAGGGCCACCAAGCTGGACAAGGCTGGATCCATGATAGGATCGCGCTGGGTCAAGCCGGATCGAGCTGGATTGAGCGAGATGATCCCGGTTTTCCACCACGGATATACCCGCCGATGCTGAGGTCAGCCTCCCAGAAGCATCCAAAGGCCCCCTCGGGCTCAGGGCCGAGGCACCAGAGTCGATGGCTCGACGCTGCCTCAGCCCATCCCCGACGGCCAGCACCCCCGAGGAGGCGGGCGATGACGAATCGCCGCGGAAGCTGCCCGGTGGGGCAGGGAAGGGGCTCCCACCTGCACACCGCTGACCCGAGCGTCCTTCTGATCAGCCAGGCCCAGGCTGGGACCACGCAGCGCAGTGCCGAGGGGGGCCTCCTCCGCCCAGCAGATGGGAGGAGGAGGGGGCACGGGAAGCAGAGTGCAGGAGCCGCAGCAGGAGCAGAGTGAGCGCGGGCAGAGGGCGGAGGAGGGCGGGCAGGCTCTGGAGGGAGGAGGCGCCATCTCAGCAGCTGGCCCGTCGGGGCTCCAGGGCGCGCTGGCCCCTGCAGGCCCGCGCGGCACGCGTACCGTGACTGGAAGGGGGGGGGCCTCGCAGCGTCGCGAGCACGCCGCTCGCGAGGCACGCGCGGCCAGCCATGCGGCGGCGTGCCTGGCATGCCGAGGGGCCTCCCCGTAGTGAGCACTGCAGTACGGTGCACGCCGAGAGGCGCAGTGGAGGGGGGGAAGCCGAGTGGAGGCGAGACCGCCCGACACAGCACGGAGGAGCTGACTGGGCGGCCATATGGGGCCCCGCCCCCCGAGAGGTCCCGCGGCGAAGGGTCAGCGGGCGCAGGTGGCAAGAAGCCACCTCGCTCCGAGCGCCCGCGACGCGTCAGCGTGCGAGTCGAGGGGGCGAGACGGCGACTCGCGTGGCTCACGTGGCTCGAGCGTCCACGCGGGCGCGCTCGCAGCCGCGCGAGCGCGCGCAGAGGCGCAGCAGCTCGCGAACGGCGTGGCGGAGGCCGCGGCCGCACGCCGTGGCGGCGCGGGCCGCGAGGGACCGAGGGCCGTCGATGCCGGGGACTGCCGCTCCTGGCGCGCTGCGGCCTGGCGGGGAGAGCACCCCAAGGGGAGGCCACCCGCCGCGCCGCCTTAGAGCCCGGAGAGGGCGGGGCCGCGGCGGCCCACAGACCACGCGCCAGGGGCGCGGCTGATGCGGCACCCCGTGGGGGGCTGCCGGGAGCCCGCTCGGCGCGTTGCCCCTCGGTGGGCAGCGTGCGCGGCGCGGGGCTGGGCCTCGACGGCGGCACGGTGGGCCACACGAGTTGGCCACCCCTGGCGAGGCCCCTGGCCGGGCGGGGCCGTGGCCTGGCAGAGGCCGAGAGCGTGGTCACAGCTTCTTCCAGGCCGGTGGGCCTCGATGTGGGGCGGAGGAGGAGGAGGAGGAGGAGGAGGAGGAGGAGGAGGAGGAGGAGGAGGAGGAGGAGGAGGAGGAGGAGGGGGCAGTGGCCTGGTGCGCAGCCCTGGCCGCCTCTCCTGGGAGACTCGGGCCGCCGGCCGACAGGCCAGGGGAATCCCGTGGACGGGGGCGCCTCGTAGCCACGGAGGGGCCAGCGCCTGGGGGCGCGCCGAAGCCACACGCCACGGAGCCGGATTGAGGCAACGACTCGGTGACGAGTTGAAACATCGTAAAAGTCCTCACTCTGCGTGGTTGTTGGACGGGCTCCGTGGGTGCCGACCACTGCGGCGCTTAGGCCGTTGCGGGCTTCTGTTGATTGTCGTTCTGGGGAATTTTCCCAGCGGAGAAGGGGGGGCACCGCGTTTTCCACCCAGCGCCGTTTTCACGGGCACCTTCTTCACGGGTGTGCCGCTGGGGCTGCTACTGATCATTTTTCAACGCTGCCGCTTGATGCGGTAAACTAACACGCGGAACCGCATATGTTTCCATATGTTGAGTAGCCATTTCTTTTAGTGGGTCTACTCCAGAGCTAGGGTGTCCCACCAACCAGTGTGCACGCCACGGGGGGGGTGCACCCTCTGGCGGCTGTGCGTGGGTATGTCGCCAGATCGCTCGAAGCGGTGGCCCCAGCAGAAAGATCGTCAGGGCACGCCTCGTGGCTGGCGGTCGCCACGGCCCCGGTGGGCCTCGCCAGGAGGCAGTGTGCGGAGGGTCCAACTCTGAACGAAGAGCTGGGCAGCAAAATTGACGAGAACCGTTGTGGACAAAGGGGGGGGGGCAGAAGAGACACGGATTGAAAGAGGATCATGGGCTGGCCAATGTAACCCTGATCAACTCCCCAGGGGACTGAGGCCGCTGGCTGAAGGACCAGGAGAAACAATTATGGTGTGACTCCTACTCTGGACGTCGTGGTGGTGGGTGGACGTGCGCGACTCCGCAAGAGAAGGCGCAGCATGGCGGAGCCAAGACGCAAACATAGCAAGCTTAGGAGCTTAGCGGGCACGACCGGAGCCGACGATACTAAAGGGACAGGGTGCTGAATGGCATCAGAACGCGGCCAGCATCGAGCTGGCGGAAGCTCGGCGGTGAAGGGGCCGCGAGGGCGGCAGGTCGGGCGAAGCGCGGAAGAGGCGGGCGGGCCCCCCCAGCCGAGACGGGTGGCGACATCCGAACTATCCCCACCATCCATCGGTTCACCTGAATCGATGGGAGGCCTCCTCCTCCTCCTCCTCCTCCTCCTCCTCCTCCTCCTCCTCCTCCCCCTCCTCCTCGCCTCCTCCTCCTCATCTTCCACGGCCTCCGTCTCCGCCCACTTCGTCGCCGACGTCGTGGTCCTCTTCAGGGTCGGCGGCACCGGCCGTCAGGCCTTCGCAATCGATGGGAGGCGGGGGTAGGGTTCGGGTTTCACCGCGTGTTCGACGGGTACCGAGCCCTACCCCCGCCGCCCATCAAAATCGTTGATCGGCGAGGGCAGGATTCACATGTCGCCACGTCGCCCTCCCCGCGGCAGCAGGGGTCGCAGCCGTGCTCCCACTGCCCACGGGGCGAGGGGGCCAGGGGCCGTGGCCGAGAGAGCCACGTCATCGGCAACGATGGCAGCAGCCGCTCTCCCACCTCCGCCTCGGGAGCAGCGCAGGAGGAGAGGGCCAGGAGGAGCGATGAGCCGTAGGAGGAGGGAGGGAGAGGAGAGGAGGGCGAGGCTGATGGAGGGGCGGAGGGAGACGAGGAGGAGGAGGAGGAGGAGGAGGAGGAGGAGGAGGAGAGAAGGAGGGGGAGGAGGAGGATGAGGAGGAGGAGGAGGAGGAGGAGGAGGAAGGAAGGAGGAGGAGGAGGAGGAGGGGAGGGAGGAGGGAGGAGGAGGAGAGGAGGAGGAGGAGGAGGAGGAGGAGGAGGAGGAGGAGAGGAGGAGGAGGAGAAGGAGGAGGAGGAGGAGGAGGAGGAGGATCTAGCGGGGATGTGGCGGTCGACGGACAGCAACAAGCATCCCGAGACTGTCCTGGAACTCGTGTTGCTCGCGGACACGCGGGAAAAACAAGAGCACGGTCCATATCCCCTGGCATGCCCTGGGCTGATGACGTCGGGTACCCTGCAGTAGAGCGTATGTTCATTCCGACTTCTCGAACCCACTGACACATGATCTCAGCGCTCATACCTGATGATGTTGGGTTGGGCCCCACCTTTTCTTTTCGCGGGTTCAGCTGAGCTGCACCTCGCCCCAGTGCTGGCCGTGAGCGAAGGATGTGGGGCGCTGGCTGGACTGCTCCCGCTGCTTCTCACGAAACGTCAGGCCTTCGGACGGGGCCCTGGTGCACAACAGCAACACCTGCTGCCAGTCGAGCGACCGGCCGGTCGAATCCCCCCCACACTCCCACACACCTCCAGGACTCGCCCCTCCCCTGGGCCCGAGCCGCCCCCCCCCCCCCGAACCCCTATCCCAACCCACAGACCGCCGGCCCGCCCCCCCCCTCCCCCCCCTCCCCCCCCCCCCTCCACCACACCACCACCCCTCCCTTCTCTCGATCCCACCCCCACCCCACCCGAACCGCCCCCCCTCCCCTCCTCGACACCCCCACCCTCCCACCCTTCGGACCCGACATCCCCCCCGCCCCCTTTCATTCCGGCTGCCAACGGCCCGACCACACCCCCTCCCCCTCAGGCCTGCCCCGCATCGGGACCCCCATCCCCCCACCCCTTCCCCGAATTTTGACCAGCCCTCCGACCGCAGCCCCCCTCATCGCAGTGCTGGAAAACATGCATTGTTTGACGATGTGGCTGGGTGGTGATGACGACAGCGGCTATATGCTCGTGATCACGCTGGTGATGATGGTGTTCACAGCCGGCCTGGTTGCAGTGGCCCTCTTGTTTCCCAAACAGTGGTTGCACTTATGGGTATCGCTTATCCGATCCCCATCCCCAGCGGCGTGGCCTGGGCCCCACTGGCCGAGTTACCCCCCTTAGGTGGGGATATCGGTCGTTCCCTTCGGGTGTCGAGGAGATCCCCAGCTGGGGTGGCAACTTGGTGGGGGCCTCGCCTGGGAGCGTGCCGGGAGCGCCTGGGAGCGCCTTGGATCGCCTGGGAGCGCCTGGGAGCGCCTGGGAGCGTGCCGGGAGCGCCTGGGAGCGCCTTGGATCGCCTGGGAGCGCCTGGGAGCGCCTGGGAGCGTGCCGGGAGCGCCTGGAAGCGCCTGGGAGCGCCTGGGAGCGCCTGGGAGCGTGCCGGGAGCGCCTGGGAGCGCCTGGGGGCGCCTGGGAGCGCCTGGGAGCGCCTGGGAGCGTGCCGGGAGCGCCTGGGAGCGCCTGGGAGCGCCTGGGAGCGCCTGGGAGAACCTGGGAGCGCCTGGGAGCGCCTGGGGGTGGGGATCGGTCCAACGATACCGAGCTATTCGGGATCGTCCCTCCGGCTGCCGAGCAACTGCGAGGGTCCGCCGAGGACCTGCCGCGCTCCCGCCCGCGGGCGCCTCGTGGGCGCTCCGGGGCGCGCGCGCGCTCGCGGGCGCCCCGTGCCCTCTGTGTTTACGTCGGGCCTGTCCCTCTGCAGGGGGAATCTTCAAAAATAGCCTCAAAAAAAAGTCTGGGGACTATTTTTTGCATATTTCCCGGCATCTTTTGAGCAACAGTCTGGGGACTATTTTTTGAATATTTCTGGGCATCTTTTGGATATTTTCTGGCTATTCTTTTTTTTTCGCCCAAAATCCCCCTGTGGGGGGGCACGCCCGACTTCACCCTGCGTGGCTCCGCCGAGGTTTTGCGCCCGGTGCCCGCCCGTGTACGCCTCGTGGGCGCCCGTGGCCACCCCGTGCCCTGGGCGGGCAGCAGAGCCGACACAGCACTGCTCACGCCGCACGGCAGTCCACCCGCACGGCAAGGGTGCGCGCGGAGGGCGCGAGGGCCTTTGGGCGCCCATCCCGAAGCTTTCCGAGCGGGGCGCGGCTCCACCTCCTCCTCCTTCTCCTCCTGCTCCACCTCCTCCTCCTCCTCCTCCTCCTCCTCCTCCTCCTCCTCCTCCTCCTCCTCATCCTCCTCCTCGTGCTCCTCCTCCTCCTCCTCCCCTCCTCCTCCCCTCCCCTCCTCCTCCTCCTCCTCCTCCTCCTCCTCCTCCTCCTCCTCCCCCTCCCCAGACGGAACCCGTCCTCGAGCGCTCCCCTCGCGGCGGCCGTGCGCTCCGTTCATCAGCGAGAGTGGCCAAGGATGGGCCGAGG